TCTAGAATGTTCGGAAGGCTTTGCGCCTGAACCAATGATTTTGAACTTGGCACTATTCTAACATTTGATCCCTGATCCATTTGTCCATCACTTTCACCAGAGTTTGGAACAACACCGGAATGCATTCGATTGGTTTTGCTAGACGCCAAAGCTGGCGCAACAGACTGCAACGAGGCGTACCGCGTATTGTCTTTTGTCGCGGTTTGTCTGCTTCGTTTAGACGGCTCATACATCTGATATCGATCTGCGCTGGCCCCTGTTGGGTCTAACGACTGCTCAGATTCACCTAGAATGTTGGGAAGACTTTGCGCCTGTAGGAGAACGCTTGTTACATCCGTTGGCAAAGTTGCAGGCACTGCAGCCGGGTAAGTAGTATAGCGGCTTTCCTTTTCGGGTTTCGCATCCAAATTCTCATCCTGTTCTCGTCGAGGAACGACAAAACGACTTGGTTCTTGGTAGCGCTGAACAGAGCCATCATACGCCTCTGCTGAGCGTTCTATTGGTGGAGTTGACAATAAACCTTTTTTATGTCTGTTCCTTCGTCGACGTGTTGATAAATCAGCCCTCACTCCTAGACGATGAGGTTTATTGCTGGTATATGTTGCACGCCTTGGCATGCGTGCCTCCCTCATATCAGTTAGCTGTGGTGCATCAGCTTGACGATGTCTGAAGGCCTTCGAAGACGTCAACCAACCGCCTTCTGTAGTCGCATCCTCTGTTACAGGAGGCCTGATGCCAGCACGCTGCATCCTTTCGATCATTGTCGCATTCGAAATCATGTCACTTATGTTAGCATGGCCAGACTGAAGTCGGACGTTGCGGTGTCGTGTAGTTGCAATCGTTGCGTCAACCGCCGTATCATCGAACGCCACGGGAATGCTTTCACGCTCCGTCGTCATCACATCGAGTCTCCTTGCGCGGGCGTAAACCTTTCCAGCCTGCGTGTACGAGTCTACCAAACTAGACAACCTAGGTCCGCCCGTCTGGATCCTCTTGTTAATCACCTGACCCCTACTTAGATGGGGCTGCATCTCATGGAATGCCTCCTGCTCCACTTCACAGGCTAATTCCGTGATTCCAACGTCCACGTGGCATTGAAGAGCTTGCGCTTCTACGTCAAAGTTCCCGATGGGAGGTCCGCGCGCGTTCACTTGGCAGTAAAGATTGCATTTTGTAGTCAAACACGGAAATCCGCACTGCACACGCTTGCACTGACGAAGGCCATGCACTTCCGATTGTATTTCACCGTGCGTAAAGGGGAAACGAAATTCGGAACCGCATACAAGCTGCTCGTACTCCGCCTGATTGCCCCATTGGCCGCTTGACTGACAACTCGGACACAGTGTAAGGAGAGCACGAATTGGGCTCACGGACCTGTCGCTTGTAATGTGCCCAAGCTGGGTGCATGTATGGACCTGAACCACAGTTGGTCGCTGTAAACGCGTCGAAACTGACCTCGTTCTTTGTTCCCTTTCTCCACCGATTTCTTCCACTGCACCCCCTCGTCGCCTCACGACTCCCTTCATTCTCTCCGACATGTAGAAGTCCTCTTCCATTGAAACCTCCAGGCTTGAACTGCTTTCAACCTGTGTGCTGGATTCCTTGCTAGAGGGCCCGATCTGCGTTATTACACACCTTTGAACAGGCGGTCGGCGTGTGTTCAGTTGAACCGCCTTGTCGTGTGACAACCACGTCCGCATCGTCTTGCATGAGAGTTCTGTGGAAGACGAAGATTCCTGGAATTGAGTCTCCACGGTTTTGCTTTCTCTGCCTATTTGAACCATAGCGTCTAGATGGTGGGCAGTCTGGCTTCGGGCACGTTTTCTTGATGCTCTTTCCTTCAACACACCTCTAGTCTCTGCGTCATCGTGTTCCGTGGCCTTTGGCTGACTCCTGCTCCTGTCGGCAAGCTGCAATTTCGGGTGAATGGGTCGTGGCCTTTTGGGGGAATCATCCATCATTTCGCTCAAATTCGTCACGAGGTCTGTCAAGTGCGCCTGGCTCTCAGTTGTTATCCGTCTAAAGTAAAAAAAAAGCACTTGATCATCGGTGTACCGCGTTTTGCCAGTGAATTCACGGCGACTTTCTTTGCAGTACTTACGTCAATTTTTCAATCGTGTTGGCAATACGGCTTTGTTCGCTCGTCGCCTCGCTTACGAAGCTCGCTATTCGCTCGTTGAGACGTCGCACTTCCTCCTGCATCAGGCCCACGGCTACGAGGTGATCCTGGAACCGCAGCAACGGAGACCGCAGACGCACCAAGTCGGCCTCTTTGAGTAGTATCACGTCGTCACCTGTCCCTTCTGAATTAGAAGCAAAATTGAACAGATCATTATTTAATTGGCTTCTGTAGGCTTGAAAGGAGGTGGTGGGTGACACAGGGGTGCCAAGCCGCATTGTGGTGAACGGATATTTTCCACTAAATCGGCAACCTAGATCACTATTTCGGGCAAGTCCGTGATCCAGATGAATTGGGCTGCATCATCATTCATTCGGCCGAAAATTAAAAAAAAAACAACCCAGTCTGACCGAAGGTCGCAACCTCCAACCTTGCTATATTCGAAGACGTCCGGCGTTCGCCAACCGTCTGATCATGCAAGAACCTCATTGGTTGGAAATCAACCATTGATCCATTTCCCGCGATTTGTCATTCAGATACCAGTTCACCCCATCTACGTCAGTTCGAAATAAGCATTTACATGCATCCATGGACACACGCACCAACACAACTTGCTCAAGGGATCTACTAGACGGTGTCTGCATACATTCATCGACGTTTTGCCTCTTCACTGAGGATGCATTGAATCGTTCCAGTTCACACTTGCTACCTCTAGGGCCTTAAGTCCGGACAATTTCACAATTAACCCCTTCCAATAATCGGCGTGTTTGTTCATGTCCTCATTTCTCACCGTCCCCACTGCCTATGATAACACGTCTGATCATTCATCCATGTGGACACATGTCCCTGAGCATGTCTGTGACCTATAAACACACACGACCTTGCATCCACAAACGAACCGGACACGCGACTCGTAACAATCACATCGTCACGTGATTGGTGCCTGCTCGTCACATCAAATTTCCCTCTATTCAAATAACCAATGAAAATAAATCGCTTTCATCAGCTCGCCCCCAAAATGCCCCAACACTCCAGGGTGTTGTTGGGTGGGATTTCTGCGTGGGTTTAGCCAAAAGATGATCTAAATCATGATATCAGGTCTTTTTTTGGTAAGATTCAGGGTGGAGCGCAGGGGAATGGAAACTTACGTCTCATCGTGGTGATGTTCTGCTTGAAGGCCTCCAGAGCCGACGCCAGTCTGCCGTCCTCGCCGATCGGTGTTATCAGGTGGTTTTGGATGTCGGCGATCAAATCGACCAGCGGTTCTGGCTTTGGGCAGTAGGCCTGTGACAAAAATAGCAAACCAAAAGAAGAATTAACGAGGTGATTGGGTTGGCGAAAAGGCTATTGGTTGTTTTTGTGTTCGTTGTGAAGGCTTTTCATTAGTGCCAAGGTAACTCGTTAGTGAGAATTTGAGTCGTTAAGAGTTGATCAGATGGTGAATCTGACCCCGCCGTCTCGTAATTGTGGCACTTCAGGTGTCCTAGACTCGTTAAGAATTGCAACTAGTGAGAGAAACTGCATCGTCCGCAATCACGCCAACCAAAACCACCGCAGTATAACCCTCATTCATGTTCGGTGATTCGTGGAAGTGATATATCACTCCCCGTTCAGGTAACTTTGATCTCACATCGCCAGATCACTGCATATTTCGAAGTGTCCAACGCTAATGATCGGAACCTGCAACTGGTTCGGTTTTCTGCTGATTAGCACCAGATATTCCACAAGTCAATCGACTACAAACGTCTTTTGTTGAATGAACGTTTTATTTAGTAATGAACAATTTCTGAAGATTTATTGGTCAATCACTTACATCCTCTGAGGCCAATTGTTCCAAGATGTCGATGTAGTCGCGGTAGAGTCGCTCACGCGACAGTCGAACGATTTCCATCCATGTTTTCTTGCATTGTCGTTTGAGACTTAAAAATGCAGAAAAAATGTCCTACTTTAGCTGGTGCATAAAGAACGCTTGACGACATGACTTTCTAGAAACTCAGATGAAATCGAGGTACTCAAATCTAGTCGTCTTGTAATCGCTCTGGAACTGAATCGCTGTGGCAAACTGGCTACTTATTTTTAATTAGTGGGTGTATAAAAAATTCTGGATGAAGGGGTTATCGCTTACACACTGGCCCTCTCGGTGGCCTCCTTGTCATTGTCCATGATCCAGAAGCAGATCGAAGGAACCTCGACGATGCCCGTGGACGTCTGCACCTTCCACAGATGTGTGTCCTGTTGGTTGTCCACCAGACTAAGCAGTTCGCCTTGTTGAATCCTGTAATCCGGTCCGGTGAGACTAACCAACGCCTGGACAATGACTGGGCCGCCTCCTTTGCACGCTGAACCCTTGCTCACCCCTCCTAACCTGAGGCGCATGGGGACCACTGATTCGCTCCGCTGCACTAGCGAGACGCTGCGGTTCCACAGACTCCTCATGGCGTCTAGTTGTTCCTGAAGTGTTTAATAAAGGAGTTAACAGTAATAGAATTGGTCAACTCGTCAAACTACGTGGACAAATTGCCTTGGAAGGTGAAAACGAAACCCTTATTGTATCCTGGCATTTATTTGGAAGAAGAATCGTCTAGCAAGGATGCTTCTTTGACATTTTTAAGTTATTTGAAAAGGTGAACAAACCAATTAACGTGGATTCGATGGGGTTAAGTTGAAGTTAGCTAGAAGCATCTTGTCTGTTAATAAATGAGCGATAAAACCGGGAATCATAACCATCGGGCTTTGCAATTTTATTGGACATTGAAAAGACTAAGTGACCGTCTGTAAATGAGCAATTCTTATTTGTTCTAGTTGAACCGTCAGCAGGGATGTATGAGTGGAAGTCTGTTCGAACAGATTTGGTACAATCTGATTGGTAGCTCTCATTCATTCCTATTTTTCATTGGTCCCTTTTTGCAGGTGCTCTGTCAACCCACACAAAAGGGGTTGCCGTTTTCAGTCCCCAGTCACAGGAGAAGGTGTGCTAACCACAAGATTTCCACAGAGAATTCTACTGCTTGTCAGACCATCAGCCAATCAGACTTGTCTGAGGGTCATTACAATCGTGTGTTTAATAGTGACGCCATGTTAATTGGTTGGTTTTAAAGCCTTAAGGCTTAGCATCTGTCAATTATCTGCGCACACGCCTAATCTCTGTTGTGCATCCCATCGAAACAATACATGATATTAAACCAAAGTTAATTCAGCCATCAACGCAGGGATTCCGTCCAATCAGCTTTCGCTAAACTCAATACATCAGTGAACGCGACGCTCTGATTGGTTGGTGGTGGCCATCGTGACCCCTAAAAGGTGCACTTACCCTCAACTCGTTGGCGATTTTACTGGCATCACTGGGGCTGCGTGGTTGGGCGACTAGTTGGTGACGTCGCTGGGCAAGTTTCAGCTGCTTCTTCAGTTTCGCTTCAACCTCGTTGGCCTCGTGGTAGAACTACACAAAACGGTCATTTGCAGGTGGTTTCACAAACTACGGGACATACCTGGTGGTATTCGGCTGATGTTTTCATGTGAATTTGAGCCAGAGTGGCTAGTTGGTCCACGTACTCCCAGCAACTTTTAACGTTGTCTGTCAGTGTCTAGACGGAAAGGTAAAAAAATGTGGCCATCAGCCAGTACTATTCAAATGTATCATTAAAGCCGACTGATCAATTAAAACGTGGCAGACAGTATTGAAAAGTTAATTCCGATACACCAATGTGAATTCATTTAGCACTCTGTGTGTGTGTGTTCAATGTACACCATCTTACCTTGTAGGTGAAGATGTTCTTGTGCAGGGCCTGGGGATCACTCAATTCGATTGACCGTCCCGCGAAGTGAGCTGCAACATCGGAGACGTAGCGCTCTAACTCCGAGATTCCAGTCAAGTAATGTAGGCACCGTGTGTTCTGATCGAGTTCAACCTAGAGCGACCAGGTTAGGCAACCAAAAAGCACAATTTACCCCAACCACAGAGGCGAGATGTGGGAGGTTGGTTTTGCGCATGCTGGGTGTCGTCAATTCTGCCTCGATCTCTCGCAGTTCCCGCAGAAGATGCTCCTGACGTCGACGTTCGTCGTCCAGGGCACTGAAATTCACTCCCACGTTCATCTCCCGTGCTTTTAACTAAAAATTCAAAGTGAATAGGGCTCTACATATGCCTCCATTTGACACGGAAGTTGTGAATTTGTGTTTGGCAAGGCAGTTGGGAGCTATTCTTGGTGAATCTTGACCCGACTACGACATATTTTCCCAGTGGACGGCGTCACGACGACGTTGTCCACTTGGTGAAGTCATCAATGTTTAGAACGCATCTAACAGCGAATCAGCTCCCGTCGGCAACTGAGCCCAATTTACAGGGCATTTTAACCTGCATGTACACACACACACACACACGAGAGCTACCTGCGTATTGACCTCGGTGTGGGGCTAGAACTTTCTTACTAATTGAGTGTTCTTGTACCTCAGACCACGCAATGAAGCACGGACCAATAAAATAACATCCATTGAGGTCTTCAAACACAATTGTCTTCATTGAATTAGTATTTTGGTAATTGGGTTGTGCAGGAGTTAAGTAAAATTTGCAAAACAGCAACCAGCTTCACACAAGCAACCCCACTTGCCTTGCTTGTTATTCGTGGGAATTAAATGTTAATGTCATGGAAGTCAATTGGTTATTTGCTACACGTGAAATTGCACTTTATTTCTGACTTACTTTATAGTCCATGAGACATTTTTCCAAAATTTCGACATCTGAAAAATAAAACACAGCTAATTCAAACCCCATTCACGCTTTACTTGACTTTGTAGACCAGATAAAGACTTCATTTCACGCCACATTTTTATGCAAGGTGGTTGAATCAATTTGCCTTTAAACTTCAACACCCGTCGTGCCATTTAAATTTACCGCTGGCATTGATTTTCTCAACCCGATTTGATTGGTTAAACAGTAGAGTGGATTTTGTGCTGTCTCACAACGTCTAGTCGAACGCAAAAGAAATTTTAGCATTTAGAGACGAATTTTTGTTGTAAAAGCCCAGGTGACATGGCGCAGGAATTACCTAGAAAGGTTGGTCAAACTACTGCCCCATGTATTTGAATCGGTGGATCAATTGGGAGCCTGTGATGTGATGGAATGACGATGTTGAGTGAACTGTTTATATAACAAGAGTGAGGCAATTTGTGCCGGATCAAATATGTCGATAAACATAACCTATACGCGAGACTTCGAACCACCATAAAAATCGTCGAATTTGGACAGCAGCGTTAAATAGCGTTGGCCGCTCTTGCTAGACACCCTGCTAAGATTTGAATCCTTTGATTGGCTGATCTTGTGTTGTTTTGCAGTTTGGTGACCGAAGAAGGCAGGGTCAATTGGACCCATGCGCTACCAATTAGCTTAAGCCAAAATGAAGCCATCAGCCAATCGGCGTATTTGGCAGTCTCTTACGTGAATTGGACGCCTGTGTGGGTTATTTTTACATCAATAAAATAAGAAATCAAACATGTAAAATTGCAAATGCCGCCTTGATATCCAGAAATCAGTGGACATTAAACTAGTTTTACATAGAATTTCGGGTAGGGCGTAACATCTGATACCTTGTCCTGATTTAGAAATTTGCGATTGACAAGCTGTGCAAACTGTTCTGGTATCGAAATCGCTTTCACCTCTCTTAGTTTCAAGGCTTAGGGTCATGTACCAACTGATAAACCGGTTTACCAATTCAAGACGATTCAAATGAAGTACATTTAAAAGGGCAGCAATGAAACAAACCTCCACGCTGAGCAGTCATGTCGAGAAGCTAAGTTGTCTTCTCGTAGAAATCAGAGATAAAAAACACCGTCCAAACAGATCAGAGCACGCGAGAACCAGTGGGGTCGAAAATAACCAGAGAGTAACTGCTTTTCCCGCCTTCTGTCGAATGACCAGAGATGTCGAGCGAAATGGACCGGCTGTCGAAAGGCACAGTGAAGTTGTGAGTGCCACCACACCTGAACTCGCCTCAATTGGCTTGCAGGCAGCACTGACACCTGTTCTCTGCGCTGGCATTGGTTGCCTGGCGTGTGTGCTGCTCACTTGTGTGCTGCGTGCTGGGAGCCCAACACTTGCGCAGCAGGAGTACTACTGATGTTCGCAGTAGAGACCAGCGTTCTGAGAATGCCACAAATTTCGCCTCATGTCGGGTTGAACTCAGTTACCTGGGTGCACTTTTAAGCACCAACGCATGTCGAAATTCTATTAGTTTAGGCACAAGATCGCAATTAGTCGTCTTTTTGCTTCAAGCCAGTTAGACACTTCCAAGACAGCCTGAAGTGACCACGTGGAGTTCACGAATCCCACGGTGAAAGCGTCGGTTTTCTGCTACGAACTAGGACGTGGTCACTTGCGTCGACAGTTTAGTTACCAAAAAGATGCTGTGTTAAGCCACAAGATGTCCACTCGTCCGGTTGAATGCATTCTGAATCCCAGACGTGCACCATTCAAAATCCTAATTGTGCCGAATCACGTCTAAGCACTAGAGGTAAAGTCCATCGCATTGCGGCTGTGCTGTTGTAGTATTTCGCTCGAAATTGTCCGTTATACACACACACACACACACACACACAAATCAGACTCACATCCTTTAGAAGTCACAAAACTTGGCTGAAAGACGGTAATTCACCTTAAAATCACAGTAAAAAGCTCATTTTCAACTTGAATGCCCAAATATTCATAAAATTAAATGGAACAATCCACGCGTGAGATACAAGAGAAACGGGATTGATGTGTGTAAATGCGGGCGGTAAACATGTGGACCAATCAACGCACTTGCAGACTCCCACTGGTTTGTTTTGAGGTTGTGCTGATCATGTCCTTCACTTCTGCGTCAGAATGGATCTATCACCAGTGCGCACGTCTGCGGCTCATAATTACACACGTCCTTGTATCTACGCCACGGCACACAACTCAGTCATACCAGCCAATAAACGGTTGTCTGGTGTTCTTAACTTAGCTTCCACAACCCGTAAAGACAATTTGGCGACTGAACTCGCCCCAAATCGCCAGACCGTCTGCTTTCATTTATTCTGAATAACTTCCTGAATCGATCGATCGTCTCCTGAATCGCTTCACAGACAGAAGATACGAAGTTAAAATATTGACCGATTTCCCAAGCTGTTATACACAGCATCTGCTCGCCATCTAGACAAATCGTCAATCACGAAAGAGGTATCGTTGAAAAGTCAATGAGGGGACTGTATGTCTTCGATGAGGATCGCTTATTCTCTTTTCATACTTGTCAAGACAACACGTGTGTCATCACAATGATCACCCAAGTTAGGCAGGATGATCATTTTGACTATTGCAAATTAGCTAAAAATGTAAGCAAAGTAGAAAATTAAAAAAAATTCTAAAAATAAAAATACTCAGGTGTTTTCCTGCGGCAACCCAAAGGATGGCCATTCACTCAATGCAAGCAGTTTTCCTAATTTAGATTGACACATAAGAAGCAATAGAGCCGACCGATATGGTATTTTATCAAAATTACCGATCACTGCTGTAAATCGGCCAATAGTTGGCAGTTTATCAGAGGCGATAAATTATGAGATCAAATTCCAGCAAAGTAGAAGATAATACGAATCGTGTTTTTTTTTACAAGTTCCACCGAAAAGTGTCTCGTTGTATCGCGAAATTTTGTCAAAAATTTGTCATTTGAGATCACATGTAAACAGCTTTGGACGGTCGCGTAAATACATCCTTGAGCCTTTTGCTTTGAAAATATCATGACAAAGAAAGCTTTAATGACGGTATGTTCCCAAATTCCCCAGAAGCGATCAATAATCGATCGGAATTTTTGCTTTATTCGAATATCTGACCGCTAAAATAAATTTAGTTCAATTAACAAAAGATTTTGAATTGAGTTGACGAATTTGTCTATTTAAAACCGAACCGAGGTCAATTGAAAATGGCCCGAGTTAGTCTTGCTTGTATCGAAATTCTGGACTGCTGTCGATTCTCTACTGCTTCTTGGACAGTCGATTTGGTTTTGTTTTGAAGTTTACGATGACAGGACTCATTCATCTAGATAACATTCAGGTTGCCCCAATGCGTGACAAACCCTGGGAGTTTATTGTGAAAAGGAGAGAACGATGTCAAAAAAAATATTCACATTTTTGACCTGAAAGAAAAACCAAATTTTGTGGCCATTAAAGCTGCAGTCGAAAATCAGTGTTTCTTAATCGTTGTCTCGGTTACGTGGTTTCCAACATGGTTTCAACTAATTCCTGCCGAAGAAGCCGCGAATTCATTGAGCAGGTAGTTCGTGCTAACACGATGAGGCATGGTGTGTCGAACTGCATCACTCAAAGGCCAACACTGTGATTGGTTAGAAGGGACACAGCACAAGCATGTGGATGAGATCATGATTGTTTTTGAGCCAATGAACAAAGGAGGATCAAGCAATGAATGGGTGACCGCGATTGCCTTCAATTACTGATCTCCGTCACAAACCTGGATAGGGTGTTGGTTATTCTCAAGGTCACCAACAAAGATGGAGTAAATCATGGAGATTCCATGGATAGCTAACCCATAGAAAAAAAACGGAAGAAAATCACGTCCCGTGAATGAACTATAAATAACACTAAACGAGTCAATTCAATTCGTGATGTCAATATACGGGCGAGCAATTGTACTTTATGCGCATCATCCCCTTCTAATCAACCGAACTGAGTCAGAAGTGCAGAAAGTGCTGCCTTGTCAGTCGCGTTATGCCAAAGTCCACGTATTTACACTGATCCTATTACCTTATGGTGGGAATATTGTACAAATCATGTGTTGCATGTAAATTTCCCGTAGCTATCTTTTCCCACACCTTCCAGCAGTTGGATTGACACTTCAACACTCGAATTTCGGCGTAAAAAAATTTAGCATTCCGAAAAAGAGGAAAAAATGTCAGTGCCTGAGAATACAAGCCAGGTATAAATGTTCTCTCGTTTTCACAAATTCAGTGTCTGTTAGGCAATGAATCCTGTGAACATGCTGGCTTTTCAGAAATATGACTTGATTATCGACGTTACTTGGCAACTGACTAGTGAGGGATTGCACGCATCTCTGGTGTCATTTTAAACCTACATTTGACGTCTAGGTGACAACAACCCGCTTGGAGGTCTGTTTACATGCAGGTATCGACACTTATGTGTCCAATGGTAACGCCACCAGAAGCACTTACAACCTCCCTGACCAAGGTAGGTTAAAAGTACCGTTCAATTGTCATTGGTGAACTTTGCTTACGTGACTCCCTGACCAACTTGAATCGGCAAAAAGTCGCTTTCAAAGTGCCACTATCGTCAGATTTAGGAGAGCGAAAATGTCATCTTCCAGGATTGGCTGAATTCCTGCTTCGCATTCCCGATTACTGGGGAAATCATCGTTTGCATTGACCTGGATTCAACCATAAAATCTGAACCTCGTTCAAGCCATTACGGTGCCCTTTTTATGACCCCACGGGATTACCGAGCTGTAAGGTCAATCCATGTACTATTTACACATTTTCCCTTCGCAAAAAAAACACTTTTGAAAATTGACCTGCACGATCTTTCCTCCTCCTAAACATGTTGAACAGAAAACGGAGGTCACGCATGGAGGTGGCGGCATGCTGGCTGTTTCCGACATGGGAACCGAAAAGGGCTGTTTGGGTAGTGTTCATTTGGGCTTTGTTTAACTCGGGTAGTCAGCATCTGAGGAATTACCTTCTATACTGCAACACCTGTCGGCGGTTCTGATCTCACAATTTCCACAATAGCTCAAGGTACCAGGAGTTCAAACAAGTGTTACAGTGATAGCATGGATTTAACTCGCAAACGCTCACTCGATCCTCGCTTAATCAAATCGCACCATGGTGGTACTCGATGATCTCAAAAAGATCGATTTGTTCCGTGAAACGACCTTAAGGTATTCTCGTGAGGGAAAACTCGTCATAATACAAGTAAATGCATATTATTAGCTTCACTAATACTGCGATGATAGCGAATACCTTCTGATGGGTGGAAATCTTTATTCGCTTACCAGCGTCAAAACAACCCAGGTAGGTGTTTAATTGTCGACGTGGCATCCGAGGAAGTGATATTTTTGTGGATGTGGGTGGTCTAGTTCACTTGTGTGATAGGCGAACATGATGAACCGAAATCCCATCACCATAAGACACCAAAACGCTGAAAAAAAATTTCCAAAATTCGAAGTGAAAGGAATGCACGGAATGAAATCACTGAGCATGTCATTGCGTGTAGATTCCTGGACCAATTGTCTCTCTACTGCTCGCCACAAGCGGGTGGTTTGCGAAATCACAATGAACTCAACTAATTTGTCCATATCAAAGTTGATGAGTGGAAGATGTACAACAAGTCTACGAATGTACTTGAAGGAGGTACAATTATATGGAGCTGCCAAGTGTATACGAAAACTTTTCACAGCCAATCACGTGAGTGTGACGAATCTGTCACAATGACCTCCAGTAAAACTACCAAGTTAACAAAGTGGAGAGCGTGGAACAAGACGGTTTCAGGGGATGCGTATCTTTGTGTTCAACCGCTAACTAGAGTTGATATGAGACATTGCGTTGATTGATGAGCCTCCATCCCACGTACCTGTCTTCAAAACGTACTCTTAACAAGTTTTTTTTCTAAATCACACGCATGTTTTAACCGAGAAAAATGATGAACACCCGGAGCCCACCTCCAACGCGATGCGACACGTTGTACCATCACCGCGGAGCAATTTGTCACATGTTTGACTATGATTACATTTAACTCCACTAACCACGGGAAGATGTTGGGCCTCACTGCGCTCGGTTACTCAAGCGACTATCATCTGTAGTGTTGTGCAAGTCACACAAATTTCCTATTGCAATTACGGGGCGTAATTAATGCCTGCGTCATCGATGTTATTGTGATCTGACTCATCATACAGATCATATGCTCGTCTTTCATACTTGCCAAATTAATATATCCCGTGATTTGTGTGGGGAGCATTTGTTGTTGTTGAATGGGATTTGCCTTCGTGTAAAGAGGAAAACAATAGTTACTTAATTTTCCTCTCTACCATGACTACAGAGCAAGGAGGACTGGTGTGGCGTATGATTTCTCTAGAAAGGTT